AAATTTTAAATACATATTTTGTCAGTAATGTCGCACTGCCTTCTAAAACGTTAGGCAAGGCCTAACTGATAAGCAAGAAGAAAAGCTCTTTAATTCCAACTAACTTTCCAATTGTATTGTTATGTTTTACAAGTTTTTCTTATTATCTATTACTTTGTTTAGGATACCCAACCTAAACAAAACCACGCGACCGGATAAATTTAGCAAACCAAACACTTTTCAATTCTATAAATTCACGGCTCTCGAAAAACCATGCTTATAAACAGTAGTAATTCAGCAATATTTAATTGACGTTTTATAAAAAGCTTGCAGTTTTAAGACTTTGCTTAGGCACAGAGAATACTTTTCTGAAGTTCATTTAACTAAAACGTGTCAATTTATGAAGCATAGCCTGCATGAGGACAGTATAAGAAGCAAAACATTTTCCACCATAATATCTTCTGTTTTGTTACTGCTGGCAGTGTTTTTAAATAAAAGGTTAGAACAATTAAAAAACCAACAACTGAAGTATTTCGAAAAATTTCAATGATAGAAATTCTTCAAGTCAGATAATCAGAAGAGGTTTTTGGCGACCAAGCACAATTAAAATCATGAATGTTTTAAAGAACAGAATTTTCAGTGTCTAAGAAAGCAAAAAACGACATTTTTAAGCACTGAATTATCGACGTAAAATTACTTGACAACCTCGCTTACGTTTCGAGCGTTTACACGTTCACTTGTCATTTGGTATACTCAGTTAAGGTGATTATACTGTTAAACAGCCACTGAATTCGAATGACAAAGATACGGCAATAAAAAGCTTCTTTCACAAGATTTCTACAATTGTTTTTTGTCTTGTTCACTTTTTGAGTGCACGGCAAAAGTAAAGTATCGATCGGGCAAAAACATAGGCAGCTATGATTTGTATGCACATAGAGGACAAAGAAAGGTTTTTGCCACAGAATAGCAATATAAAGTTGGTATGCAAAATCTTTGTAATTAAAGTTGGTATTTTTTTTTAATGGTTAATAAAGAAAACATTTAAAAAAACTGCTTTAAAACTTAGCGGCTCAAGAATAGACAGATTTACAAAGTAGAAAAATCAAAAAACAATATGCTTTGCCCGTCACAAATGGCTTTTTTTACTGACTAACAGTTTTTTAACCTTCATCACTCAAAGTTACAAAACTCGCCAGTGTTTTTTTTTTACCGTCCCAAGACATTCAGATTACCATACCACTCTTCCAAATTAAATTTCCTGTTTTTATTCCTTCAAATTTCTCGTCTTGAGTAAATACCGAAGCTTTCAGTCTTTCATTTTTGCAGTAACAAAATTACATCAGTGTTGGCTGACAAAGTCCCTTTTTCTAAAGAAAAAGGCAAATTGTTATATATGTCTGGTACTTTTCAGTTATCAAAGGTTTGTTCCAGGAAATTTAGTGAAGAAGTATTTGAAAATTTATTATTGTGCTTGCTTGTGAAAAGCCATTTTTATCTATCATTCTCCGTTTTCGAAATGTTGTGACCAACTGGAACCGTCAAAAACGGTATTCTTTCCGGAAGAGTTTTCCTGTTGTTAGTAGAACAGCAGCAATGGCTATTTAGGTTTAATGCAAGCAGAAACCCTTTAGAAACCTTGACAGTAGCAACTTTCTGCTAAGCTTGATTAATATTGTTCGAAGATTTTGGGGAATTACAGCATATTATACCAGAGTACGCATATTAACTCAGGCCGCTCTACGCTTTTAAAGCTAAAATTTGAAGTTATAAAATTTAGATTTTGTTTTGACAGCTCAGAAATCTTTTTTTACATTGTCAGAAACATAATAGTTAAGCACTTTGAATTCAAAGAACAAAAATGACAAGCAGGAGATAGAATATTAAGTTGTTTGTAGAAAAGTTATATGTTTTGAATAGACCACTCAAATACAAAATAAGGAATTTTAATGATCTCTTCCGATTGAGAGTTGTAAGAAGCAAAGCAACTTTTTATCGCTTTTTCATAAGGGATTAGCTTAATTTTTTAAAATACTTTATATATTATACAAATATATCAAAACCAAACAAGTATTCATATGCTAGGAATCTCCTTTCCTATCTTCGTCCGTACGGGAAAAGAAAAGCAGTAATCTATAGTATATAAACTGTGTCATTGGTAATGTCGCCAACAACTGAATATACCACTGTTGCCTCTGTGTTTGGTGGATTTTCTACGAGGTTCTAATTTTTCCGTTTTTTTTTACTTTATCCAAATACCTCTCATCATTAAAATTAAAAACTTTTAAGAAAATGACTTCAAAAACACATTTTCAGCAATTTTCACATCTTTTTATTTGTTTATTTAAAATTGAAAAACTAAAATAACGCATAACAAAATAAATCTATTTTATTTTTATATTTTCAGAACAAATGATATGAAAAAAAATTTGCACAATTTACACCCGTCGTTGACGTAGAATTTCCCGTATTCAATCCCTGAAATTTGTTGCCACTGCTCGGTTTAACCGTAGTAATTAACCAATCCCTAAACTAACATATGTTTAAAATACTAAAACAATTCTTTTTTTTTCCTTTGTAAACATTCACATTTCTTTTCGTACAGTATGAACTTTTTCTCTTTTTCGCTTTGGTTTGCTGATTTTGATAAATTTAAATCTACGGTCGCTACAGCGTGAAGAAAAAGAATGAATGTTCAAATAAATTAATAAACTCTCCAAAAAAATTTCACCGGTAAGCTATGGTTCTACACTTATATTGCCTCATTTTTTGTGCTCTTCTTTTACTACAAATCAACGTTCTATCTTAGGCAAAAAAATAAATAAATAAACAAAAAAAATTTTGTTGCTTATCGTTTTTTCGCACCTCTCTACAACTTCTTTTCTAGCATTTAACGGCAACAAAAAAAGGAAATTATTTAACTCAAAAAATTCAATGTATTGACGGGAATATTTATTTTTACATATTATTACCTTTCTGTTGCATTCGCTGATTTGTACTTCTCCTTTTCAGTTTTTTTTTGATCGGGCAAATTGTTTAAAATCCACGGGTGTTGTAATATTCCGTCCACTGTAAGACGCCTTGATGGTTCTTTTACCAAAAGTTTTTTGATCAGGTCCTTTGCTGAAAATGATTAGTATTTAATGAGACAAATTAACTAGATTGAAAACATTGCCTCCCTCAAAAGAAAGGTAAAACGGATGATGCAGTTAATATGTTACGTACCGTTTTCTGAAACAAAATTCTCTTTCTCTGAAGGAAATTGTAAAGTAAACTCCAACTTGCGATCATTTGTTTCTTCAAATGGGAGTTTATCAAATAACCTAAATACCAAATTTAAATGTAACAGTTTTCAAACGTAACAGTACTGAGTGCATATAAAGTAACAAAACTTACAGTTCGTACATAACAACACCAATAGACCAAATATCGACTGATTTACCATAGCATTTCTTTGCCACCTGCAAATTGGAGGTGCTCCGTGGTGTACAATTCAAATGGTAAAAGAACTGTGCGTTGCAAAAATATGAGCTGTTAATAGTCTTACTGTTTCTGGAGCTGCATACTGGCGGGTAACAGCGTACGTTTTCGAGAATATTTTTCCAATTAGCGAATAGTGATGCGCAGAACCAAAATCGCCAAGCTTCCAAATTTCTCCGTTTTTGCTGAAAGACATTTGTTTGCTACTTGCTAAAATACAAAACGAGATTTAGTTTTGTTTCCTTTTCTTTATGCTGAGAGATTTAAACAGTAAAAAAAGACTTTGATACTCAAAGAAACCTGCAAAGGATGTTTGCCGGCTTGATATCTGTATGCACAACATCTTTCGAATGCAGATGTTTTACGGCAGTGGCAACGTCGCGAATTATTTTTCGTACTTGGTGTTCAGTCAAATTTTGTTTTTTGCTAACTTCTGCCAACGTACCTCCTGTCATGGCATTTGTTGATATTCAAGTAGTATTAGTTGAAAGAACAATACAGGTTCCAGAATTTATCTTTTTCAACACTTATTTGACTATAAAATTACATGAAACGGGTAAGAAAACTGATATTTGCTTTTATCAGATTCTAGTTACCAAAACAAAGGCAGCATTTCCTCAATTATTTCACCAATTTATCTGCCTATTTTCAGTTGTAGTCAGTGGGTTTCTTCGATAAGCTGCGCAAAGCTCTTCGTTACCAAATTTATTTCTATTAAAACTGAATTACTTTGAACAACTCTACTATGGTTTTTCTTTTTGGAACAAAACCAGACTTGAAAATACAGTAAAAAACTAATGAACCACATTTTAAGAAAAATTTATGTTTAATTTATTCTTAAATACCTTCCATGTATTCCATAATGATATAGTAAGCATTCTCTTTAGGGGGTTTACAAAAATCGACAAACTCAACAACGTTCTGATGAGCACATCTCTTTAGAAATTTAACCTCTCGGCGTGCACAACTTTTATCAGTTACACGCTGAAAAAGTATGTATTACTTAAAAAATACTCAAATTCTTGATAAGTTACTAGGCTTGTGAGCCATTTGCTCAGTAACATTTGTCAAACATTGTAAAAACTTTTCTCTTTTTCCTTTTTTTGCTGAACAGTTTGACTCACTTGTTTTACAACGTAAAAACCGACAATATTGTTAGCCAACTTTTGCTTATGTAATTATAAAACAAAGTGAAAACAGATAAAAAATTACCACCTTTACAGCTAAAGATCCGTCTTTATATACGACACCAAATCCGCCTCTACCCAACTCCTAAAAAACGTTCAATTACCTGTAAATTTTACACAAGTTTTATACAGAAAAGTAACTCCTAAAAACAGTGAATTACGATATGCAAAGTTGTGACAAAATTTTTGACTTTTCAAACTATAACGATCACTTGCTACTGATAAAAATATTGAACTGTTGTTTTGGAGCTCAGCATTTTTGGTTACCTTTTTATCGGTATAAGCACCAAAAAATGGTTCTTTATTCAATGGCGATGAGTGCTTTGAGATGCATTGTCCCATGGCCAGTTACTTTTTTCTTGTTTTTCTGTAATTACAAATATTTAGTAGCACTCCACTGAGGATTCATTTGTTGCTAATTACTTTCAACAAAAATGGCTATTATGTCAGTATATCATTCAAGAATTCAGTGTTTTATCCGGTCAAATAACATTTTTTAATCAAATAAAAGTTCTTAAACTTCACTAAAATTTAAGCCTTAAAAAACATTTTTCACTATGAAATTATAATAATTCATGCTCGGTGTTAAAGCTGAACAGTTTAGTAAAGTACAATCACTGCAAAAAAAAAAAAAAAGAAGGAAGAAAAAAAACAATAATATAATTCAGTTTAAAATAAAACATAACTTTAGGTGAATAGCAGCAAAAAGTTTAAATGATTCTAGTCCGCAGTTATTAGAAAGAGCAGAAAGAGACTATGACTTTGCTTGAAGAGATAGCGATGCTTTATATAGTGCAGTTCATGCTTGGCCCCCCTCTTCCCGCATGGAAGGCGTTTCTTATACACAGTTTGACAGTGTGACCAAAAAGCAGCAACAGTATTATAAAAAACAGTTTGTTGAGTTATTTTCAAAAAAAAGATATACAAGTTTTATTTCTTGAAGACCTTTTTTCTTTTACTGCTAGTGATAACTAGTAGATAATTATAGATAATGTACGCCCATTTCAAACAGCAACTCTTTGAGTACTTTGGCAATACTGTTTTCAAAATAATTAGATGAAAATTTTTTGATATATTCTTTGCTTTAAGATAAGCTTTGTCATTATTATTTCGCATTTGAAAAAAATTTTCTTTTTGTTTTTCAAGCTAAAATTGTAGGGAAAAAAAGCAGGCAAACGATGTGAAAGTAAACCTTTCTTCCCCGTAACAAGAAAAAAAAAAAGTAGTTGCAATGTGCGTAAATAGATTGGTAAATAGAATGTAAAGGACATAATATTTTAAAGAATATAATTCATATTATGTTTTTAATCAGTAGCATTTCATAAACCTTGTCTAACAATTCTAACACTTCTTGTTCAGTGTTAAAAAGGTTTTTTCTTGAAAATTTGGTACACACTGTAGAAAATCGCTGTTTTGTACATTCAGCCGACTAAAACAAATTTCCTGGCTTGCCAAATTCTCCTTTTAAGCAGCGATGACCAACGTGATTTGCTGAGGTCTCAAATGCAAACTGAAGGAATGGAAACGGTGATGAAACTGTTCGAACAAACAAGCAAAAATACAGACAATGCTGAACAAGTCCAAAATTCTCGTTATTCTATTCACTCGACAGCCATTTGATTTTACTGCAACTCTTTTCTTTCGCTTTCAAGAAAACACCAAATTGTTGCAAAAAAAAGAAAAAGAAAACTATAATGTTAAAAGATGGAAATTTTTTTATTTTTTTGCTGTACAATCAACTGACCAAAAAACTTTATTATTCCAAATTTCACCTTTTTTTTTTTCTGACTAATATACTTTGAAGAAAGCTTACTCTTGAAATTTGCAAATATTTAAATCTATTTTGACACGGTGTGGTACAGTAATTTTCATGGAATTCCACGACATGTTTCACTTGCACTCCTATGCTTTGCAGTTTCTTTAGGTTCCCTTTATGCGTTAAATATCATTTCTAATATACCTTTAATTACATCCGCATACACATATCTTTGGCTATCTGTATATTTTACACAACACTTCTTTCTTCTTTCAAACTTTTTTTTTTTTTTGCACCGATTTAAGCTACAAAAAAAAAAAATGAATAAATAAATAAATAAAAAGAGAATAAAATCAAATGGTATGATCAAAAAATAATAAAAAATTAAAATTGTGAAGTACTGAGCAAGAATTGTGTTGACATCATATAGAATATTGGTCATTTAACAAAAGAAAAAAAGTACAACACAAAAAATTTAGTTGTATTGCTAACGAAAAAAAAAAAAGTTTGTATCAATTCAGCAACATGCATCTTTTGGAGTTTTAAAAAAAAACTCAGCAACAATGCCGTTTGAAGCCCCAAAGCGGATGAAACTGCTTAAACAAACAATTGTACATACAGACAATGCTAAACAAGACCAGAATCTTCGTTATTTTATGCGGGAAGAAAAAGAAAATTTTTACAGGTAGAGAAATAATACTGATGAAAACTACTAAATTTTGTTGCATTATCATAAACAACAGGTGATTAAAAGAGATTCTTTACAAAGACCACTGACGGTTGTACAGGTTATAATAAAGATAAAATTGTAATTAGCAATAGGAATACCAAATTGAAGTCAAATTAGTTCAGTTTTTTTCTGCTGAAAAATTCCATATAAATTTTGTTGTATCAGTTTTCGTTTCTGTGTTTGTCTGTTTGCTGACGTTCATCAAGTTCCATATGAGATTTGTTGGTGAAATAGTCTTTATCCAGCAGGTAATCGTAAGCACCTCGAATTACAATATGAAACCAATTGGTGACCGCAGCTCCAAAGAATGATAACACAGCAATGTTGAATGGCCATATTGGACCAAAGTGTGTTTCCATTTCGTGGACACTGAAAAGTATAAAAAAAAAAAAGAAAAAAAAAAGTGAAAATTTATTAACCAAACGAATGATAAAACAGATAGACGAAGAAAATGGGCTTCTGTAGACTGTTTTTTTTTTTTTTT